GTGCTGTGCCAGCCTCAGAGTGCTCTGCTTGAGCCCTTGTTGTACTTTGTCCTGCAGAGTCATTATGCATTGGAGTCCACTAGAGGGCAGTGAGTGGGCACGCACCTTCTGGGTGTAGCATGCTGTATTAGGACCGGTATTGCACATAAATATAAATCAGATTTCAACCCTACTTCCAGGGAGATGAAGTGTTATAATTCAGTGAAATAAGAAATTACTTCCATCTGACATGAGCACGGAAGATTTTTTTTTGAAGGAGTTGCCCCGTAAAGTAAGCTTTAAGGATGGATAAAGTTTAATTGTGTGAAGATGATTGAAATGCATTGTAAATAAAGTATTTGTGGGGAAAGGAAGAGATGCTGGAAACCAAAGAGCTTGTAGGGAGAACTTGGGAGAGCTCTGTGTTTCAGGAGCACAGTGTGCATGAGGTTGGGCTGTGAACGGGTTCAAGTCAGTTCAGTCAAAACCTAAGCAGCAAAATTAGAACAGACCCCCAAATATAACTAATGGGTGAAATGCAATGGTAAATGAAAGGTGGGGGGGTTACTGGTCAATACCTTGGAATGAGAGGCTCAACAGAGGTAAAGTAGACCCTTTCAGAAGCCTTATGTAGGAGATTGAATTATTGCTAGGTCTGTGGAGAGCAACACCCGTTTAATGCTCAGCAGCCGAGGTCGAATCAGCCACCATCTTTGAAAAGGGCACCACTGTTTCTGACTCAGCTTGTCCAGACATCCAGTTTTGTTACGCCACGTGCCTGCTGCCGGCCTTGTTTTATATCAGGGAGGTGAAGCTTTAAACAGGGCGTCTCCCAGTGATTTTCCCCATTCTGGTTATTGTTTACAAACGTGGGTCCCTTCTGGTTTGGCTTCGTTGGACAGCACTGAGCCAGAAAGACCCGGTTCAAACCCCTCGTGTAAAGACTAGAGAAGACAGGGCAGAAAGTAGGCGGGCATCAAACTGCAGAGGGCCTTGAAAGCCCGGCTAACAAATAGAGCTACTGTCGACAGACAGTCGCTACGCAGGAAAAGGAAACGCTGTCTATGGCTGGAGCTTTTTTATTTCTATTGTTGTACATGACCAGCCTGGACCTCCCCTCTCTAATGACTGCCGTCTCCGTGTCTGACCTATAGGGCAGAAGCTCTTTGAGTGACTCGGAGCCCATGTTGTAACAATCTCTGCCTACGTTGGCGTCTGTGCCACCCTTTGACACTTCTCCTGAGCGTCCCGTACCGTCTGGATCCATGTGGGGAATTTATGCTGAGGCTATCCGTGACTGGTACCATCTAAATCCAAAGACGGCACAAGCCTTTCACAACGCAGGTTATAATGCCTATCACTTAGCCACGCGCCGTTCATAGCACCATAATCTCTCATTTGCTCCCATGGGAATGACCACTCAGAATCTTTCATTCCAGGTTTACACTTTAAGAAGACTTTCCAGGCTTATTAGCAGATGGTTTCCAAGAGAAGACAGGAGATCAGGAGCAGTTTTCAGAAGCAGAGGGAGAAATGTCATGCCCCTGGGGAAAAATAAACAGCCACTTCTTAATCAGTTTCTTAAAACACTGCAAACATGAGTGCGTTGCCTGTAAACGGACTGAGGCAACATACCAAGCACGTCCTAAATATGCCACTTCCTGGAGGTTATTTGATTGGTTACCAGTCTCCTCATCCAAACGGTTCCATTCTGTTTGAACGACCAACATCACCATTTCACTCAAATCATCTTATGCAGCATAGAACAGCGCCCACCAGGCACAGGAGGAGGGGTAGCGGAAAGGAAGGCGAGCAAGGAGCCAAGCAAGTGAGGAGCAGGCAGCAAAAGACACAGATGAGAGAGGGAGCTGGAGAGTGAAGACGAACATCCATGCTGTTGGGGATGAATACGTGCTCTGCTTCATTATGAATATAATGAATATACATAACACAGTGCCAATTGTGGATGAATGAATTACCAGAACATTGAATTCTCAGTTAAATGTATTGAGATCCCACCACAGGCAATGTATTAAAATACAAACAGGACCAAGGTGAGACCCCCCTGCTCTTAACAGGCTCTTCTTTCAGACAAGGAGAGTGATAGGTGAACAAATAATTACCGTAAAATGCTGAACAAATAAGTACAATAAAATGCTGCAATGCTGAAAGAAACAGGGGCTATCAAAAAGCTTTAAATGCACCTGAGACAGGAAGAGGATTCTTGGCCATAGGTAAGTCATTGAAACTTTCTGAGACGCATCTCTGAAAAGTGGTGATATCTGGCTACCTCTCCACGTTGTTTTGAGATGAAATGAAATCATGGTCAAAAATCTATTCTGTACACCCAAAGTCCTAGATCAACACAGAGCCTGGCTATTTCCTCTGTTGGCTGGGAAACATCGAGCCCAGATCTGTTGAGTGCTTACTTTGTGCACTGGGTCACAGTCCTGTGCGGTTAAGTCTCGGCTCATCCATCTCTGGGTTACCATTGTCCCTCCACGATCCCACATCTTCTAAAAACCAAACTCGCTCTCATTGAGTGGCTGTCAACTCATAGCGATCCTAGCAACTCACAGCAGAGCTGCTTGGTGTTTTCAAACTGCTGACTTGTCAGTTAGTAGCCCATTGCCCAACCACCGCCCCCCCCCACCACCCACCACCAGGGCTCCTCTGTTCCAAATCTTACTAAACTAGAAACCTACTGCCAGTAAGTCAATTCCGACACTTAGTGATCCTAAATAGAGTTTCCCAAAGCAGGCAATCTCCTTTTTCCCCTGCAGGTCTACTGGTGTGTTTGAACTGCTGACCTTGAAGTTAGTAGCCCAATGGCTCCTCTAAATTTTACTCATCACAAAACTCACTGCCATTAAGTCAATTCCAACTCACAGTGACCCTATGTAGACATTCTCAAATCAGCCAACCACATCGTTCTCCCGCACTTCTACTGGTGTGTTTGAACTGCTGACCTTGCAATTAGCAATCCAATGCCTAACCCACAGTGCCACCAGAGCCCCTTATCCTGCATTTTAGCAAAACCCAATTTGTCGTTGTACTCTGTGTTAAAGTGGTGCACCCCAAAACACAGCACCCAAACCAAGCCAGTTGCCCTCAGTGGGCTCTAACTCACGGTGACCCAATATCTATGTGTCAGAAAAGAACTGCCTGGCTGTCATCTTGAGGTAGTAGATCACCATGTCGCTCAGATGAATGGGCTTGAACCATTCACCTTTAGGTTAGTAGCCAAGCACAAATCATTTGTGCCAGCAGCTAACCTCCACACACACACACACATACACCTGAAAAACTGGATGAAATACTCACCTGGTCAGGTGCACGCCGTCCTTGATGTTCACAGAAGGCAGCAGGGTGCAGACCGCCGTCTTTGCTGGATTTGGGCTTCCTGGTCCTCTTCCTCCCTCCGGCCTGCATCTTTCTGGTCCCTCCTCAAGCGCTTTCCTTTCTTCTTTCTGCCAGTGCAGCTTTCTCTGTTTGCTTTTCTGCTTCTCTCTCCTTCCTCATATGGGCCTTGGTGCAACTCCTGTTGGAGAACAGAGTAATTTCAAAACTCCCCTCGACGCTATTCCGGGAAGAACTGTGTGGAATAGGCGAGGTTGCTCCATGGGAGCATGTGAACCTGAAGATGTGAGACACATGTAGTCCTCTTTTCTTCCAGCCAGGAGATCTCTCTCCCTTCTCTCTCTCTCCCCCCGCCCCCACCCCCCTTGCTTTCTCTTGGCGATGTAAGAATCTCACTCCTCTTTCCTTCTTGTCAGGTGTTTCTCTCTCCTCCTTTTCCCCACTTTTCGTTGGATTCCACACTTCTCTCCCTCCTCCAGCTCTTCCTCCCATCCTAAGCCACAAGTCAAAGACCTACTTGTGCTCTCCTGACCACCATAGCACACACGCTGCCCGCCCCCCCCTCCCCCAATGACCACTGGCTTCACAGCATGTTTTGGGACTCTGGGCCCAAGATTCTTAGCTCTTAGACAGACTCTGATCAGCCCTCCGTGACCTCACCAAGGTGGTGAGCTCATGATTGGCTACTTCTGGGCACTGCAGGCGGGAGATCTGAAAAGGTTCATGCCTGTTGCTGCCTTCTTTGTCCCTCAGCCTCTTCAGATTGAATCGGGGAAATAGGTCCTTAACTCTCCAGGACTTGACAAAGGGATTTAGGGGTAAATTAGTAAGAAGAGAAGTGGTGCTGCAGGCCCTAGGGCTGAGGACAAAAGGATCTGTCTTGTGGAGGCAGTGCTGGTAAGGCAGGGGGAGCCTCTGTGCTCACCAGGGCAGTGGGGCTGAGGCTGGAGCATGGAAACGGTGTGGCAATTCAGCGTACTCAAAGGCGGGTGACAAGGTGGGAAGGCTGGGTGCAACTGTCCAGGCTGACAGTCGTCTCTTTCCCCCGTAGAGGGGTCTCCCCTCCTGAAACAAATAGAACTCCAGGGCTGGACACAGGTATTTGGATTTCCAGTGCTTGTTCTTGTGCTTGTGTGAATGACCTTGGGCAAGTCACTTCATTCCATTTCCACTCTGCAAAACAGGAATGATAGCGCCACCTTGCTTATCTTACAGGCCTATTAAGCAGTTCATTGAAACGTGAACTTATTTTACAGTCATTTAACCTGTCCTTATTCCAATGAATAATATAGTGTAGCAGAAAACATCCTGCACAAGGAGTTAAAAAAGGAAAATCTTGGATTTGCTCTGCTCGTGCTGTGGTGACCTTTATTAATCACGGTCGGTCCTTCTGGACTTCATTTTCCTCATGGGGAAGTGGAAGACCCAGACCGGATGAGCTCACAGACCTCTTTGGATTTCACATGATGCTATCCCTGACAAGTTAGCCTCCTCCTTTAATTGACTCCTTCAGAGGGGGAGTTAGTTCCGTGTATGTTTATAGGAAGTAGACAGCTTTTGCCCTCTGAAGGATGCTGGCAAATTTACCTTTCAGAGTGGCCTCGACTCGCCTGCCCCCACACTCATAAAAGCACAGACCCCCAAACCGTAGCAGTATCTATGGAGGGCTCAGCCTTGATGGAGATTCTCTCCCCAGGCTACTGGCAGGAGCACGATTTGGAGCTGGGAACTCTGGCTCCCCTCGACGAAGCCATCCGCTCCTCAATCTGGAGCAGCCCTGACATGCTGGCCAGTCCAGGTGAGAACCCAGGCCCTCATCCCATTGTCCCTCGGTCCCCTCACCCATTTTCACACCATCTTCCACTCACTTGATGTCCACCCTACGTCCTCACTCCTCCCATGGCCACACAACTCTGGCTCCGTCTCATTTGACATCTGCTCTCTTCCTTCTCCACCGCACATCGCTCTGGCACCTGCACCTTCTTCCCTTTCCCTTACTCCAGGGCAGAGACCTCTGCCTCCCTCCACACACACCTCTTTCCGAAAAATAAAAAGTTACTTCAGGAGCGTGTGTTATTTGGAATAAACATGCTTGAGAAAGACACAATCAAGGTTGAATTCTTCAAAAGGAGCCAGGGACAAAGGGATGATGATGATGAATCCAAAATTAGAGTGTGGCTAGCAGGAAAGTAGCTCCCCGAGTCTTTCATTGAGATCATTGAGGAAAATACCAATTCTAAATTTCGTCAGCTCGCTCCGTCATTGGCACACTAGTTTGAATTCTCACAGTAGATATGCACCGGAGAAGCATTCCGCTGAAAAGAGCCCTGCATCGAGATTCAGAAGAACTGGGTTCCAGTCTTGCCGAGTAGCTTGATCTTAGGCAATCATCTCACCTCCATTGCCTCATTGTCAGCATCTATAAACGGAGAGATTTGGGATACATGAGCCCTAAGATCCCCCTCTGCTGATTTCGATGATGCTCAACACTGGAAACAGTGAACAAGCTTGGCGTTCTCATTTGGAGACAGCTATCCTAAACCGAGACGCTTGGGGGCATCCACTCCAGCACGTGTGAGGGCCTCGTTTCTGTTAGGAACGCTCATGGGGTCGCTCTCAGAAACGGAGGCCCAGTGGCCCAGCAGGAATGGAATAAACGGTCAGCACGGGGGTAAGGTCCACGTCATAGGAGCAGGGGGTTGTTTCAATGGCTTCGTACGGGGAATCTAGAAACTAAGTTTCTTGGTTTCCTACTCCAAGAAAAACAATGCTGATCAGATAACTTAGCGCTGTAGCAAACCACATTTGTGGATGTTTCAGAACCGTAGCTGGAAGATGTTGCTCATTGCAGGTTCGTTTTGGGAAGGTCTGTGCTGTTGGGCCGCCAAAAGTCAGCTTTGAAATCTAAGGGATCAATAGTCGGAATCAGGAGTTCACGCAGCAGATACATGAGATAATAGCGGGGAGAGGAAACCAGTATTAGAGGCTGAGGGACTCACGGATCAAGGGCATGTTTGGGATTCACCAAACACCTTATCAGACCTATGTGGTTTTGTTGGTTGGTTTTGCTTGACCAAAAAGAGATTGGGAAATACATTTTCTTCGCATTGGAAGGAAAATCCTAAGCTTTTGCCCTCTAAAGCAACACCAACATACTGATTTGGGTTTGTGTGTTGGGGGGTGGGTAGTACCAATCCTAAAAGGAATATGGGAAAGGAGTTGGTGGGAGAAGGGAACTTTATTGTTGGAGAAAATGGAATGTCTCTGTCCAGATGTTTCAGTTTTATTTATTTGTTTGTTTGCGCCACAGTTCCTTCAGTTACCTGTTGTCCAAATGAATGCACAATGCACGGACTTGGCATTTCTCCCACTTTGACTTTCAGGAATTTTAGCCACAACCACTTCTCCTGTCCTTGCTCCTGTATGCAGGTGATGACAGGGAAGGAGGAAAGTGTAGAGTGACAGATGTGCATGTGTGTTTCCAAGAGTTAACGGTCAAACCATATCAGAAAAAACATATAGAGAGCTATATGCATATTGCGGCATGGTGGGGGTGGGATGAGCTAGCTTTATTCATCCACATGCTTATGACCTGGTCAGTTCACTCAGCAAACCTTCAACAAAGGATATATTTCTTTGTACTCAAAGCAAAAGGACATCAGATCTGTTTCTCCTACCAGTTCCCACCACCTCTGTTTCTTCCCTTGTGAAGACTTAAGGGGACCCAGAGACTTGGGCATTGGAGGGCATCAATTAGAAGAGGTAGATATTGGCTGAGCAATGAGTGGAGCGGTCAGGCTTCCTCTGGAACCTGACCCAATTCTGTTCTTGCAGACAGTCAGCCCTGGACATCTGATGAAACCGTGGTGGCGGGTGGCACCGTGGAACTGCAGTGCCAGGTGAAAGACCATGAGGACTCATCCCTGCAGTGGTCCAACCCTGCCCAGCAGACGCTGTACTTCGGGGAGAAGAGAGGTAGTATCTCTTACATTAGCTATCTCCTCAGGAATTATGGGCCGAGAGAGAGGGCCGCGGAGCCTGTGGGAACTGTCCTGTAGTCCAACCCATGCAAACAGTAATGTACAAGCCGTAGGCTCCTCACCTGGCTCTAGAGAAACTAGATTACAGATTTGAGCCAGGATGTGCATGACGCGTTGAGTGACTTCACTTCAAATGAGCCCTAACCTGCCATGCTGAGGGTCTTCTCACAAGGAAGCTTGCATTTAGAAAAGCCAACACCGCTTTCTGATTGCAAATGGATGTTACCGAACAACCCAAGGACTGCTCTATCCCCCTCAAACGCCCCCACCGCACCATACATTTGTCCCCCGAAAAAAGCGGGCCCAGCAAAGAGCAATAAACATGCAAGATGCTCATAAAGACCTGCTTTTAAATCCCACCTTTCCTGCAGCCCTCCGAGATAACCGGATTCAGCTGGTTCGCTCTACTCCCCACGAACTCACCATCAGTATCAGCAACGTGGCTTTGGCCGACGAGGGCGAGTACACATGCTCCATCTTCACCATGCCCGTGCGGACGGCCAAGTCCCTCGTCACAGTGCTCGGTGAGGCTCCCAGCCCGGGTCTCCACAGCATGCATCCTTGCAAACAAGCCTGTCCAGGCTGGACCGGGAGGCTGCCTGGAGCCAGGCAAGTCGCCAGGCAGTTTGCATCCTAAGTCCAGCATGGACTTCCCTGGCAATGGGGTAGCATGGCAAAGGCCACTTGGTTCCAACGCTCGCTCTTCCACTTACTCCTTGATCTGAGCCAAATCTCTTACGCTCTTTGGACCAGCATTTTCTAACTTATAAAAAAAATGGGTGGCCATGTCTATTGCACCGAGTCCACGGATCATCCTAAAAGAAAACTGAGATGTACGTGCAACGTGAGATTCAAATTTCCCATCACTCACATGCTCTCATTTTTGCCAGATAGCTGAATTTCATCTTGTGTGCTCCTGAGTCTCATACGGTGTCTGTGATTACCCGATAATGCTGTGAGGTATTGGAAGTATTCAGTATATCTCCCCACTACCATAGATCCTCCGGGTCTGCCCTCCTGGCCTTCAGGGAAGAGTTACAAACAAATAGGGAGGTGACATCGCTATCGTTTTCCTACCTACCCCCTAAACACAAACCCAGGCGTCCCGACCACTAGAGAGGCCATGTCAACCAGGAAAGCTGAGATGTGGCATCATGTGCCTCTTCTTCCTGTCGTGGCCATCCTCTCTCCATGACAGGAATCCCACAGAAGCCCATAATCTCTGGCTATAAATCACCATTACGGGAAAAAGACCAAACCATCCTAACCTGCCAGTCTTCGGGAAGTAAACCTGCAGCCAAGCTCAGCTGGAAGAAGGGTGACCAGGAGCTCGCTGGTGAGTGTCTCTGTCTTGGGGGGGCAGGACGGGGTACGTGGTACAAGGAAGAGAAAGCAAACGCCTATGTCTCTGTACATGCACATCGGGCATGTGTGTGAGGAGAAAGGGCGGAAGGCAGATATGTTGTGAGCACGTGTGTGTGTGTGTGTGTTAAGGGCTACATTCTCTGTGTGTACATATCCATTTCACAACTTTCTAAGTTTATCTAAGTTGAGACGCGCCATCTGTATGTCTGCAGTGGGGCCCACACTCTGTATGTGTGCGAGGGCTCACTCTGTCTAATCTGTGAGTCGGTGTTTCTGCTTCTGCACTCCAGGAGAACCGACTCGAGCACAGGAAGATCCCAACGGGAAAACCTTCACTGTCAGCAGCTCGGTCATCTTCCAGGTCACCCGGGAGGATGACGGGGCGAACATTGTGTGCTCTGTGAATCATGAATCGCTACAGGGAGCCGATAGATCCACCTCTCAGCGCATTGAGGTTTTATGTATGTCCTGGGCTGGGCATTCAAAAAGGGATTGGGTATGAGATGGGGAGTGGGGTTGCTGAAAGTGCAGAGGGTAACCTTACCTGAAGCTTTTTTTCAAAAAAGAGAGGCAGGAGGTGGTAGGACTACTCACCGCTGGTTGTGAGCTTCCATCCCATAAGGCCCCACCTCATGGCAATCACAAGTGTGACCAAGTGGGACTGCACCGCAGCATTGTCTTCCTTAGACTCTTTGCAGATCCCCCGGCCTTTTCTTACTTACAAGCCAATTGCAAACCACTTGAGCCGCCCAGGTCCACCACTAAGGACTGGAGAACTTTTTTACCCAGGGTTAATTAGTAAATGATTTAGGTTTCCAGGGTCATTCGCTTCTCTGCTTCAGCTACTCAACTCTGCTGTTGTTGTGTGAAAACAGCCATTGACAATATGTAAACAAGTGAGCATGGCTGTATTCCAACTTTATTTCCAAGAGCATGCAGCCACAGGCTTGGGCCTGCAGGAGTTAGCCCGTGGGTCACGATGGCCATTCCCTGGACTAGGCCAGGAGTCCAAATCAACTGGGAAGTGGCAGGGTTGGAATAGGCCAGTGTGATGAAGCTGAATTGCAATAAACAGTGGTAAGCATGGCAAATCAGGAGCCAGAGATCTAGCTTCTAGTCTGTATGGTAGTGACAAAATTAGTTTACCCACTGAGCTTCCTGTCTTTTTGCTAAAGAAGAAAAATAAACATGAGATCATTAAGACTTCTTCCTGGTCTAGCGTTCTATGACTCAGGGGAATATGGGCGATAAAACAGCACAGCCTCTCTAGCATCATTATTCCCGGACCTTCTCCCAACTCAATACCCCAGTGCCTTCCCCAGCTTCGTGACTGTTCTTGGATTCTGACCTGGAATGGTCATATCACTGTCATGACTCCGAACCTTCCAAGGACCTCCATTCCTCTCCGGAGACTGCCTTGGGTATGGCCAGGAAACACTCATTCTCATCGGAGGAAATAGGAATGAAAAACAGAGAGAGAGAGAGATTGTTCGGTAGGCGAACCCAAGGAACAAAGAACACAAAATAGAAGCAGGAGCTGAAACACTGTAAAAGCAGGCAATTCTTGTCCTGACATAAGCGAAGGGCTGAACATTTTTTCTAATGTAACTGAAGTCCTGTTAAGAAGAGATCCAGGACTGCTTACTTTTCATTAACTTAAAAAGCAAAACAGAACAGGAAACCAGCAAACAACGTATTGCCAGCTAGTTGATTCCGACTCAGAGAACAGGGTAGAACTGCCTCTGTGGGTTTCTGAGACGAACGCCTTTCGGGAGTAGAAAGCCTCATTTTTCTCCCACACCATAGCTGGTGGTTTTGAACTGCTGACCTTGCAGCATGGCTCAGATTTTGCCTCCAGCTAGGTCTGGAATGATAGCCCCTTCCATTGGGTAGCTGCTCAAGCTGGAGGGAGAAGGCCTGGATTCTAGTACCGAGTTGCTACTTACTGGTTCTGTTCCTCAGGACAAAATATCTTATCCTTTGTGCCTCCTGCTCCTTTCATTGAGCTACATGAGGCTAAATTAAAGGCCTTTTTTAAAACTTCAAATGTCTACATTGCCATCAGGCAGTTTTCTAACTATGGATTCTGAGTGTGAAGCCCCTCGTCTTAGGCTCCTTCCATTGACCCTGATTCCTGATGGAGATAGGAAAGGTCTCTCTCCCTGACTGAAGCCCAAGTCTATTCTGATAGGTACCAGACCATCTGACAGGTTACTCTCTAGAGACCTTTTTGGGCCAACTGTGATCAAAAGTCAGCCAACAAATCCTCCACACAAGCACTATGCTAGAGGTTTCTATGATTCTCGGGTCCCCAAACACCCATTCTCTCACCTGGCCTGTTTCTCTTTGTCCTGTTTGATTTGACTGAAAGACGTTCATTAAACTGGTTGTTAAGGTTGGCTCTGTCCTTAGGGGAAGCTCGGCCTCTTTATCTGTTGTTCTAAACCAGCATCTGGTTGCATTGTCCTAAGCGGCCATCTGGAACTAGCCTCCTAAGCAGCCCTTTGGCGTCAGTGGCAGATGCCATGCTACTGCCCCCAGCTATATTGTGTTAGTGCCTTTCTGCGGCCCAAATATGACCCCAATCTCTGGCCATTTCAAATCTTGGACTTCGTTTTTTTTTTTGACTGACCATTAAAAATGATATTTGGTGTTTAAGGTATGCTTCCAAGTCTAAGCTTCCTGGCAGAGCAGAGCAGACTGAAAGGTTCTGAATTCGATAAGTGGCCAACTTCAGGTTAATTTGTTTGGGCAAAAAGTGAGAATAATGTCCCATCCAGCATGGGCAGAATTCCTGGGTAGTGTAAGCAGTTACCTGTGGCTGCAACCCAAAAGATGAGAGGCTAGAATCCACCCAGAGATGCCTTAGGAGAAAGCCGGGGGAATAGAGTTCCCCAAAAAGCCATCATTGAAAACCTGATGGATCCACTCTGACACACATGGATCGCCATGAGTTTTGCCAAGTGAAAACTCACTCAACAGCAACTGGTTTAGGTGCTGGGCATAAACGAGCCATTTCTGCCCCTTCGCAGATGTTGTTGAAAACATCCTGCTGGCACCCACCCAGGAAAGGTCTAGAATACAGGCACTACAAGGTTGTGCACCCCAAGCAGGTCCCCAGACATGGGATAGCAACAACTGGGGTGGCTCACACGTAGTTAAGGCAGCGGGGACTTTTGTTCGCAGCCCCCGAGGCCATTGAGAAGGCATCGTGTGCAAGTGGGCGCTCTCTAAATACACATCAGGGTAGGTGACTTCCTACAGGTTGTGGGCACTTTGGCCTTGACATCACTTCCTTCTCCGCAGACACACCGACGGTGATGATTAGGCCTGACCCGCCGCATCCTCGCGAGGGACAGAAGCTGTCACTGCACTGTGAGGGCCATGGCAATCCCGTGTAAGAAGACCTTTCTCCCGCCCTCTCCTGCACCTCGTCCCCTCGGATGAGCCTCTTCCCTGAAGCTGTCCGAGCCTCCCTCATTCTCTGACCGTATCTCTGGTACCCCATCATTTCTCAAGCCCTCCTAAGACTTCCATGATGACCCTCGCTCCAAGTCGTCCCCCTTCTTTCAGCTCCTCGACCTACTATCTCCTACCCACGTGTGATTTCTCTGCCTTCACAGCCCCAAGGAGTATGTATGGGAAAAGGAGGGCAGCGTGCTCCCCTTGAAGATGACGCAGGAGAGAGCCTTGATCTTCCCCTTCCTCAATAAAAGCGACAGTGGTATCTATGGCTGCACGGCCATTAGCAATATGGGCAGCAAGAAGGCCTTCTACACTCTCAACGTGAACGGTGAGCCATCCCCTGTCCTCCGCCGCCAACAGCTGCCCTTCTCCCTTTCTCTGTCCATCTTACTCTCTCTTCCGTTTACCTCCTGAGAGCATCCCTGGCCTGATTGGGAGTGGAGGAAAGGAAAATCAGAAGCAGCCGCCGGTGAGCAATTCAGCTCTGGGTCCACTCTGGAATGTGTAATAAGGAAAATTCAATAGAAGGGTGGACACCCATCTACCTTTGTTCAGCAGTGGTGTCCCAAGTGGCACCGCCCTCCAACTCCTGCCCTCATCTGACAGCAAGAAGAATAAAGCTTGTTTAGAGGAGGCCCCAGAGCCTCCCAAGAGCAGGGGAAGATGTGTTTTCCTATTCAGCCGGCTGTGCTCAGAGCCGCGTCTCCTGTGGGATGGTGGGAAGGCATGCTATTCTGCCGTGCCCTTGTTTGCCGACCCTGGACACACTCCAATGGGTCCAGGCAGAACGTGGAGATAAGCTGGCACGGTGCTGAGAAACAGACTCGTTTCCTCAGATGCCTGATCGTCTGGAAAGACCAGATGATCCTCCTCTGAATTCTTTCTGAAGTCCGGTCACAAAATCCAGCTTCGGGGGAAGGGACAAGTGAGTGCAGAACCACCTTTTAACAAAAAACAGGGGGTTTTCGTTTCTTTCCTTGACACCCCAGGAGAAGTGGGATCCAGCCTTGGAGGCCTCGTTGCTGGGTAAGGAAATCACGTTGTTAGAGGTACATCTGAGCCACCTATTAGCATCGGTCCAGGAGATGGCATCTAAGTTCTCCAGGTGTAAGAGAAGAGGTCTGGGGTTCTTGGATGGGTCATGCTAACTCCAGGGGCGAACGTCAGCCTCCGAGTTCTTCCCCAGCAAAGGAACAAGGCAATTTATTGTAGGATCCCAGAAGGGGCACAGTGCCTCAGGGTCTGATCTCTGATCCTGAATCTCACTGAACCCCCCTGCCAGTGATTTGCAGTGAGGGAAACTTCCACAGCTCTTCAAAGTGCTGAAGCCCTTGGGGCTGATCCCTTCCCACCACCCCTACTGCCCTGTGACCAAAAAAAAAAAGGGGCCCTGTGGGTCCTGTTTGACTTCATCTGCTTCCTGTGCTGACGCCTGGTGGTAGAATGAGGTGCTGCATCTGCTTCCAGGAATATTCTAAGTACAGTAGTCTATACCCACACCCGCCTGGAATTACATTCACTGTAGTTCTACCTAGAACCAAAAGGACCTGTAATTGATGACCCAAACAGTCTTTCTGGACAAGAAAACACATGTCTTCTCGAAGAATGTCCTTGTCTGTAGTCTCTTGAATAATTATCCAGGATAATTATTAATTATTTTTTAAAATATGGACTGTGTCTCACACACTCCGCAGAAGAAAAGATCATGATTCAACTCACAGGGCTTCCTCCAAGTTATACCATTACACCCACCCCATCATGGCAGGGAGCCTCCAGCCCCGTTCTCTCCTTCCCTCCCAAGGAAAGCATAAAGAACCAGAGCATGAACGTATTCCTTTCAAATAAGGCAGAGTAGGCAGGCGAAGAACTGAAAACTTGGCCCAGTGAAGCCAGAGGAGACATAAGGTAGGACAGACAAAATGTATAAAGAGCCAATGAGGCATCAAGACTCAAGCTGAGTCTACAGAAAAACAGGAGCTCTCCCATGGGTGGAAGGACTGTAGCTATAGCTAATGTATTTTTTTGCCACGTCAGAAATATGTCCTGGGCCGATGCGCTGTATCCTCAGATATGTGAGATGCTGACTTTCCCTGGTGGTTCTACTCATGCCACCCCTGGCTCAGCCTGTGCCATGGGACCATTCTCTCGGTTTCTAGGGAGGACCAACTCTTTCTATCTGATGGCTGGCCAGGACACACCAGCCATCACAGGAGGAAGTAGTTTAGTGTTTGTCCTTCCCACAGACTTTCAGATGGTATGGAAGTCAAGAGGGAGCCTCAAGCCTCCTTGTTGGGACAGGCTTGTGGATGAACGTTTTGCTGGAACCTAGAACTGCCCAATCAAAGATGCACCGTGCTTTGTACCAGGGGGTCATGGTGAATCTTCTGTTAGAGTGTGTAATTCTTGGCTCCTTCCTTTTTTCACTGGTGCTTCCTCACCTAAGCCTAGGTCAGTGGGTAGATCTGCTGAGAAAGCCCCATCAGAAGCCCGCTCAGATGAGCAAGCAGACAGGTGAGTAAGAGGGCAGACAGAGCAGAGGAGCAATCCAGAAACGTACAAGGGAAAGGAGCAAAGAGGAGAGGAGAGGGAGGAGAAAGGCGGTTAGGAAGGCGAAGACGGGCACCATCTCTTAAAGTGATGGTCAAACTTCAGGGCTAAGAACTCAGCTAGAGAGCCGGCATGAGCAGATTTATTTCTACAACCAGGAATACACAGTTTTAAACATGTTATGTAGTAGGCACTGTGTCGGAAATCAGTGTGTAAGTTAAGGCCTGTCCTTTTACTTAGTGGTTCTGCTCCATTCCACTTGTCTTATCCTATATTCTCTGTTGTGCCTGACTCTCCATGGCCCGGCTACGAATGCTGTAAGATCAGGGTTCTTCTCCATCTGACTGCCTGCATCTCTCTTCCTGCAGACCCCAGTCCGGTGGCCTCGTCCACCAGCACCTACCATGCCATCATCGGGGGGATTGTGGCTTTCGTTGTCTTCCTGCTGCTCATCCTGCTCATCTTCCTTGGCCACTACCTGATCCGGCACAAAGGTCAGAAACCTAAGAGAAGGATTAGTTGAGCTTGGGAGCTGGTCAGATGGCCAACGGGGCACAGGCAGGAAGGAGCAAGGTGCTGGAAGGGGTTCTGGAGACTTGGTCAACTCTTTGGAACCTTTGAGGAAGAGAAAAGAAGACAGTCAATCCCATCCCCATGAATGCTGTAACCAGTGAACACCAACAGCCCCGCAGTAAAGCCTGATCACTTGGTGATCATCCAAGTGCGATCCACCTTCCCACTCAGTCAGCTGCTCCCCCATGCTGCTCTGCCTTCAGCGTGCCCGCTTGCTGTAAAGCGGAAAGCTCCCTGGAACTCAGCATTTCCACCCCATTTCTCCCCACACTCTTTCTTTCTATCCATTTAGCGGTATTTCCCTTTTCCTCCCATCTCGCCCTTGCCCCATACCCATCTCTTTTCTTCTCTCTGTTTTTTACCTGCCAGTCCTCAGCCATAACCTAGATCCCATCTCCTCCCGCTGGTGCCTCGCAGCATTATGGCTTGGCCAACAGCCTGACTGCCTGGGTTGGTCAAACGCTCGCCACATCTGGGCTGCATTGCTTGTGAACTGGAAGTAGCCATTTCCATCACCTTACATGTACGTGAACACGCACATACACCCTCACATACATGCTCACACACGCATGCACACACACACTACAAGACACACTCATTTACACCCTTTTAAAAATATCTTCCTATATTATAGATGGGATTCAAAAGCAGGGCAAGATTCGTTAGTGTTTGGGGGTGTAGTCGGATGGCGGATGCGAAGCAAAAGGCCAATGAGGCAAAGCAGTGAAGGGCACCTATCTATCAGGGCTGAGATGCATGGGCACTGTGTGGGCAGCGGGAGGGTAGGACAGTGGTGGGCAGGATGGGTTCCAAAGGTCTGGAAGCTTCTCCTGCAAACAGGAGTCCCTTGATTTCTCTCCAGGAACCTACCTGACACACGAGGCGAAAGGCTCCGACGACGCCCCGGATGCAGACACGGCCATCATCAACGCAGAAGGCGGGCAGTCGGGCGGGGATGACAAAAAGGAGTATTTCATCTAGGGGCACCCGTCCGTCCACTTCCTGTGCCCCCCAGGGGCCCCGTGGGGACTGCTGGGGCCATCACCAACCCGGACTTGTACAGAGCGACCCCCAGGGCCGCCCCTCCCGCTTGTTCCCCGCCCACCCACCCCCCTGTACAGAATGTCTGCTTTGGGTGCGGTTTTGTACTAGGTTTGGAATGGGGAGGGAGGAGGGCGGTGGGGGAGGGAAGGGTTGCCCTCGGCCCTTCCCGTGGCTTCTCTGCGTTTGGGTTACTATTATTTTTATAACAATCCCAAATCAAATCCGTCTCCAGGCTGGCAGGGCAGGGGTCTTGGCGCTAAGGCAAACACAGGCTGCAGTGTTAGGGGAGGCTGAAGGTGGAGGGGGAAGGGAAGGGAAAGGAGCCGGGGCTGGTGCAGTGTGGGGCAGGGGAGGCTCTCACCAGCTGGCGGTCATCTATAGGGGAGCAGCCTCCCGACTTCCCCAGGAGCTGGAGGCTTCTGAGCAGGAGCTCTGGAAGGGAGGCAGGGCCCACCTGGCGTGGCTCTTTAACCAGACAGGGAAGGGGACAGGAGTTGCGCCCTGCAGCCACGCTGGGACTGGGAGAGGACACAGGTCCCTGCAAGAGGGGTAGTGGAAGGATGGCAGAGACTGACGCACCCACCCTCTGCCACACTCTAAAGGAAGGGGGCAGTGCCCGCAGGTGCTTTTCCCAGGAACTGCCCGCAGAGCAGAACAGGTTGCCACTCCTTCCACAGCAGCCTTCGGAGTGGGAGAGGGGCTGCTCCCGCCTAGGGCCCCAAAGTCTTCCCCTGGCCTGAAGCGTTGCACGGCAACCACTCCTCTCCTGGCAGTGCTCAGCAGCTCCTCCTCCAGCGCGGTGCCACCCTGTGCCCCTTTCTGTCGCCGAAGCCGGCCCTCAGCTCTTCCTCCCGCCGCAGTCAGGCAGATCCAACAACAAAAGGAATGACGGGAGCGTCACTGAGCTGAGCTGTTTTCTGCCCAAACTAAGGAACTAGCGTGAACTCTGAGTGTGTCCCAGTGTGAGTTTGTGTGCCTGTGTGTCCATGTGCATTGGCGTGTGTGTTGTGTGCATAACAGAGCTGGAGTGTGTGCTGGGGAGGGCCTGGGTCCTGAGTGCGGTGGGGTGGGGGCTGTGGGAGGACAGGAGAAGGAGGGCTTTGGGGACAGAAGATCCTAGTCAGGTACCTCCCTGGAGCTTGCCCTGTCGGGACATATTCCACGCCACCTCCAACGCCCTTGGAGAAAGAAGTCCCCGGATGTGCTGCTGCTCAGTAGTCCCTCCCATCTTTCCCTCAAACACAGAGCACTCAGACCCTGCCTCATCTTCCCGCTTTCTGAGCCCCAGAGCCAGTGCCCCAGCCTTTGCTATGCACCACCCCCCCGACCCCCCAGGCCTCTCCCTGGCACTGACCCTGGAACTTTCCCCACTCCCTACCCTGTGAGGTGAGTCGAGGGCTAGAAGAGAAACCCCTGTCTCCTTCCCAGCCTCACCCCTGCTTTTGATTTTCTGTCTTCCTTCCCTGGCCCAGAGCAGGTTGTCATGGAGATGAGGTTGCTCCCCTCCCTGTCCCAGCCACTGGCCTGTTCCCCTCAGACCCAGGATGCCTCTTGGCGCAGCTTTCACCTTCCTCCAGCATGTCCTCCCTGCTCTGACCATGGGCATGCAAAACGGGGGCAGCTGCAATCCCGCAGGCCTGCCCACCCCCTCAGTTCAGGTAGTAACCGCTGTGACTCTTCCAGCCGCTGGTTAGGGCCCTGGGCACCACAGGCAGTCCCTTCTCCAAGCCAGGGCCTCTCCTCTGACAGCAGCAAGGGCGTCTAGGACCCAGGCCCATCTGGCTCCCTGGATCCCAGCATCCGCTTTTGGGCAAAACAACATTTCCTCTTCAAGCTGAACCACTCTGTCCATATTACACAGAAGCCATATTTGTATGGGGGGCGGGGGAGCGAGGGGCCTTTGTGCTGTGTGTGTCTGTCCGTGGGCGGGTGGGTGAGGGAGCAGGGAGGGACGGTGTATCTTTATAATCTTTCTAACTCTCCTGTGCTAATCTCCGAGGGGCCACCCTCAATATATCTGGATTCTCTGTGTCCTCTGGCTGCCTCCTTTTTGTGGCTCTCACTGCTCCCGGGATGTGTGTGGATAAGGGCTGTTCTGGTGTCCCCTGCACCTGGTACCCCAAGGGGCGACACATCCCTCACCGTGTCAGCCACCCAATGGTGTCTTTGTATGGGAAATGATGTAACTCCTGAGGAAGATAATACAGTGAACCCTCGTGTATCGCGGTTAATCGGTTCTAGACCCTACCATGATAAATGAAATTCCGCGAAGTAGGATTCCTTATTTGTAAATCAAATATTTTCGTAGTTAGAGCATAGAGGACATGAAAAAACACCCTTTAGTCACCATTACACTCGTATTACCCAATTTATTAAATGAAAGAGGGAAAATACAGTAAAACATTTTGAACGTTACAATTATCATTTATTATTTATTATATTATTTATGGCATCTAGTTTACAGTATTACATATTTCACATACAGTATTATTATACATAGTTCTTACAAATACTGTAATCAATAGCCTATGAAATGACTTAAGGGATGTACTCTACAGGTGGGTCGCTGTCTTTTTCCTCTGAAGGAGCGGGCGGGTGTAGGCAGTGGGTGCTGTTACTCAAAAACCGCGATAGAGTGAAGCCGCGGAAGTCGAAGCGTGAAGTGGCGAGGGTTCACTGTATATCATTCTCTCTCTTCCCCCATCCCACCCCGCCGGTCCACATTTTGCTGGGCCCTTGCTTCCCCAAGAGTGGTTGAGGCTGGGGCACCTGAATGGAATGGCCGCCCTCATGCCCTCTGTCAGGCAAGGCCGGGGAAGGTTGAGATGGAAATGACAACCATCCCTCGAAGGCTCCACCAGACTTCTCCCAACTTCACTTTCTCACCTTCCTCATGCTGAACTTTGAACTTGAGCCAATGCCCTAGATTGCCTGTCTTGAAGGTAACCTTTTCCACCTAGGTCACATTACTTTGCTCCCAAGCACCCCTAGCTCTCCTTAGCCTGAAGCTCCTTGGCAGCATCAGGGGTCCGAACACCCCAGGTGTTCCTGGACAGGGGAGCAGGTGCAACTCCCTTCTATGTCCCCATTTGGGGCTGGACACTCGCCTCTCCATTCCCAGGCCATCTCCCCAGGTGAGAAAGTAAAACGCGGAGATGGGCCATGAAGCAGCATACATGGTGGGGGAGGCAGTGGGGGTGGGGAAGTAGAGCAGCCTCGGCTAGGTGAATCTGCCTGCAGGGCGGATGCTCTTGCTCTCTGCCCCATAAGGAACTTCAAAACTTGCTAAGATGCCATGCCAAACCAGCCAACCCAATTTTCATGGCTTTTATGTATCCTCCCCCTACAGAAATATGACTAGAGGTTCCCCCGAGGGCAACAGCCCCATTTGAAATTATGCCTCCCCGTGGTCCCCCCAGTGCCCTTTCACTTGTCAGACCATGTGTTCTCTTTGGTCGAGAAGAGGCATTCGGTGCACCCAGTGGTGGCGAGGCAAATGCCCAATTGCTCCCTACTGTGGCATCATTATGTCATCTGACAGCCAACCCCAGCCCTGCTACTGGAACATCCAGGCACAGAGATAGCCGGACACACACCCAGTCACCCGCCCAGCCCACCGATGTGTACACACTGATAGATACGGGGACAGCCACAGCTGAAAACACACACACAGATCTGCACACTTAGCCCTAAACTGGTACACACGCAGAGCTCAGGCGGTCAGCACCACACAGATCTGGCTACAAGTGCTCACCAAGCCCTTGCCAAAGCACGTAGCATTTGCACTTTTTGCCTTCTCTTGGAATAAGTTCAAGGGGATGGAGAAGTGAGAGTCATCAGCTGCCCTTTCAAGGCCACTTCCCAGCATCGCTCTTATCTCTGTCTCACACTTAACCCCTAGCCCTCTCTTCCTTCCTTGTGCTTGAAGAACCCCTTCTTGCTGGAAAGCCCCCTGGCTTTGCAGCCTCCCCTTTCAGTTCTTTCCCCTCGCCCACCTTTGGGAAAACACCCGCTCTCTGGTCTCCACCTTTTTCTTTTCCTGACTGGAGGTTCCAACCAGTAGGAGGTCTCTACCTCAAAGCAGGAAGCCAGAGGCCAGTGCCCCAAGAAGGAATAAGGCCCTAGGCAGGCAGTGGGTGTGGGGTGAGGGCTTCCTGAATGCTTCCCCACCCCTTGGCCCTGCCCACAACCTGATGGCTTTCATTAGTCCTTGGCACTTATCTGGAGACCGCAGGCACGCACCGACAGTGCATCCTAACCTCTCTGCCTGTGCTGAGCCCAGCAGTGCCATGGGGAACTGCCAACCTGGGGTGAGTGTAGGGGACAACCCAAGAAACCCTAAACTGTTGTTCCCATCCTTGCCTATGCATCCATCAAGCCTTGATATCCTCTCGCTCAGCCCTCCCCCCCTTGTTCTTTCACTTTTTAGGTCCATTTGTCCTCACTGGCATCTCCTAGAGCCCTCGTTAATGCCTCTATTGTCCCTTCAGTTTATGCCTACCCAGTCCTCTCCGCCTCCCTCTCTGAATGCCACTTGCTCTTCTAGGCCTATCCGACACCCCATCTCTGGCTTTTCTATGTCTCTTTGCTCCTCTGGTCTGGAGTCTCCCTGCTGGGCATTCTTCCCCCACCTTGACAGTGGCAGGCTTCCTTAGTTCACACTTCTCCCAATCCCAACTTCCTTTTAGCCCTCTCTTCCCATGCACCTGTCAGCTCCCCAGAGACCTTCGGTGGAGGAGGGTGGGTGTTTGGAGGCTCTGATTGCCCCTCGGGGTGTGTATGTCCTCCAGGCGGATCCCTTCTTCTCCATCGACAAGAACTCAAGCACACTGACTCTGGGAGACGACTTTGGCAGTGAGTGGAATGAGTCCTATGAACCCTTTGACTACAGTGACAGCAACCTGGAAGCTGCTGCCCCTTGCCACTCCTGCAGCCTGCTCGACGACTCTTCACTGCCCTTCTTCATCGTGGCCAGCATCGTGGGGATTCTAGCTAGCGGGCTTGTCCTTTTTGCACTTCTCAGGCCTCTCTTCCACTGGAATCTCTGTCCTGGCCGGCCTATCTTGGTCCAGTTGGCTGTGGGCAGCGGCCTCTTTAGCGTGGTGGTGCCCATCCTAGCACCAGGTCTTGGCGGCTCCCAAAATAGTGCCCTGTGCTACTTGGGCCATTGGGTCTGGTATGGCTCAGCCTTTGCTCAGGCTCTGTTGATAGGGTGCAGGGCAGGCCTGGGCCCCAGGCTGAGTACATGCCAGGTCCCAAGACTCACTGTGGGGCTCACTGTGGGACTCTGGACAGTGGCTGCCCTGTTGGTACTTCCAATCACTTTGGCCAGCGACATTTCCCCAGGGATCTGCACACTGAAATCCAACAAAGGCCTGGGGACATTGCAGTACATACACGCTGCGACCTGTTTTGCTATCTTCTCCTTGTTGCCACTGGGCTTGGTGGTAGCCAAGGGGCTGAAAATGGCCCTGGGCAAGGGGCCAGGGCCCTGGGTGGATATCCTATGGGTGTGGTTCATTTTCTGGTGTCCCCATGGAGTCATGCTGGTAATAGACTCGCTGGTGAGGTCTAGCGTCTTGGTTTTGTCAACATGTGGGAGCCAGCAGGTTTTGGACTTGCTGTTGCATGGTGCAGAAGCCCTGGCCATTCTGCACTGTGTGGCCACGCCCTTGCTCCTGGCTTTCTTCTGCTACCAGACCACGCACAGGTCCTTGCCCCCAGGGCCCCTCCCTGCAAGGTGGCCTCATCCGGACATCCCTGAAATCAAATCCTAGCTCTCGCTCTTACCTGTCAGCCCCAATTAAAGTGTATGTTGTTTTTCTTCGAGTGGATGGGTTCTTATTTCGTCTGGGGAGGAAGAAGAGAGGAGGAAGAATGGAGAAAGAGAGAGGCTTCCCATCCCGCTGCCTGTCAGGGTCGGTTCCTCTAGCCTTGAGGAGAATGTGTGTGAGGTATGCAACATGCTCAGGGCACACCAATGTTCTCTTGTGGTGTGGGGTCACTGTCATCTCAAGAGGGGATGGGAGAGGAACCAGGACATCAAGGTAACAACTAAACCGTAGACATGAGAAGAAATGGCTTGTTGAGTAAAGAAAGAAGAGAAGGAAGCAGAACAGAGTTAGAGATTGGGGGGAAGAGAAGAATGATGTTGGAGCTCAGAGCACTCTGACCTGTCTCCCGGCTGGCTTGCCCAGCCTTCCTCTCTGCCTTCCAGCTCCCTCACTGCCGCTGACTAGTGCAGAGATCAGAGTGGTGGCGGTTGTGGGGGTGAGTTGAGGAGGAACAACACCATGGAGACCTTAGTTCATCCAGGAAATGTGCCAACTTGATTCCCAAAGTCGCTTCCTAGGAGTGATCTCTCCAAGGTTTAGTCCTCACCACTGCCCTGATCCCTGTGTGTGCGTGTACGCACGCACGCAAACATCTGTCTGTCTGGATCTGGTATATTCGTGTTGGAGGAATCCATGTAATAACTTGTCCCTGCATGTACCTGTCTCTGTTAGTGTCTGAATCACATGTACTTGTGTCTGTGCCTGACCTCTCACAGCCCCCACCCCCCACCATTTGATGCTGCTCCCCATCTCTCTTCTCAGGATCAGAAATCAGGTTTTATGACTCACTCTTACTCAAATGAGTTCTCTTTACCCGAGTTCTGTCGCCTTGTCCCTTCTGTGTAGGATGTGTAGAGGGAAGAAAAGATCAAAAAGTGGAAAAAGGTAAAGAAACTTAAGGGGGTGTGGGGAGCGATCTGATTCATTTTCTGCTTGCAGTCACCCAAATTCCCTTTTCACTCCCAGCTCTTGAAATAAACACTTGCACAAAGATTTCCTTCTATTTCATATGTGGTAACTCTATACACTGTATCCCTTTCCCCACATTTCCTTCCTTCCTAACCCCTCCCTCCAGTTGCCCCCATGCTTTGGCTGCTTAATAGTGATATTGGAGGCTCCTGCTTAACCCCTATCCAGCTGGGGTTAGGTGATTATTATAAGAGCACTAAAGAAACATCTTGTCATGCAGGACACATCTTTTAAAACTCACCTTTTCCTCAAGATCAATCTCTCTACACACACACACACACACACACACACACACACACACACACACACACTCTTCTCCCTCTAACCCCAGTTAAAGACCCGGGGTACTCGAGAGGCTGCCTCGCACTGTCTGTCTGAATGCAGATGTAGTCTCTTCGTTTTCCAGAGATGCGAGCTACCTGGCCTCTCCGCTAAGTTGTCCTGCTGAACTCTGGGCTCCAAGCGAGAGAGAGAGAGAAGAGAGTTCAGAAGGGGAGCAGAGATGAGTTACAGTATCCTAGGCGGGAGGGTGCAAAAGGTTCAGGGAATATTCCTGGGTGGGTACTTTGGCAAAACCTCTACATCCCCCTCCTCCTGTCTCTTAGCAACGGCCAGGGTAGCTACTGATTGGTGCACCATAAATTGAAAGGTGGGGCTAGAGACCGACGGTGTCGTCGGAGACATTCTGAAGCAGAAAGGAAAGAAGAGAAAATAAAATAAAAAGTAAATAATTTGCCATCTTAAATTGTACTTGGGGGTTCAACCACAGTGCATGAATGAGTCTTAGCGTTTTCTTTTATCTTCTAGTCCCTCTGCAGCCTCTTCTCAAAATCCCCTCTCCACTCACTGGCTACTCTCTCCACCCGACCAGCTGTTGCCATTCTCCCTCTCAAAGTACAGGGCCCAGAGGCTGATCCAGTTGAGGGGCTGCTTTCTCCTTCCGGAATCTTCTAGCGTCAGCCTGATGGGGGCAGGGGCTTAATTTAAGACCCCTGGGGCCATCTTAGCCACTCCCTCCCTGGTCCGTGCTTCCAGATAGACAGTCCTCATGCTCTGTCAGGTTAGGAGAACCTGGACTCCAAGGGAATAGCTCCAGGTGACAGCGATCTCCACCCCAGCCCTGGCAGAAAAGGAAAAGCCGGGGCAGAAGTCCGCTGCTGATAAGAGGCCAAGGGTGGGTTGGAGATGGCCTCTTCATCCCCACCCCTGTGAGCGTTTCCCCACCCGTTTCTGGACCTGCCTCTCCCTGTCAAGAGCTGGTCTATAGACAGACAGACAGACAGACAGACAGATTGAGTCCTTTCTTCTAAGCCGACTAAAGGCATTTTTTGAAAGCTTCCTCCCGTATGGTCACCTTTGTCCACGGAGCCCGCTACATGCCAACAACTCCCTGAGTGCTCTGCGTCTGGCATCTTCCCTACAGCCCCTCAGGAATACAAACCGGGTTCCTCAGAACCCTTAAGAATTTAATCTCTGGGTTGGCAGGGTCTTTGGCGGCATCTGAGTTATTTGTCCTCCTGGCTAAGGGAAAACATCATCGCAGAACGATGAGAGCCAGGAAGGCTAGCTCTTGGGCGCACACAAAACCCTGGGGAGGGTCCATTTGTATTGCATCTTTCAAGAGAGACTTCTTTCTGGAGGGAAACTTGAATATTAGATTGAAGCGCCGCAGTCCATTAATCAGGCTAGGGCCCCTCCTGGAGAGGCTCAAAAACAAAGACCTGGTCTCCACGCCCTTTCATGCACCCCTCATCTCCCCTTTCCCAACCCCATCAGGACTTTCCTCCAGCCACCCTCAGAGGAATTCTGATCGAGAACTTCCCTGGGATTTCAAACCCAATTCATCGCCAACTCTAATTGCCAGGGATTTGCATGAAAACCATCGTATGCTATCTAATTATCCTGACAACAGCAGCCTGCCGTCTGGGCACAAGGAGAATCGCAGTTTTAATTAACAATAATGCACCTTGCAGAAGAATGTGACTTTTTAGGTTAATTAACAAGTCCAAGTCCCTCCAAATCATCTCTGGACATCATCTAGGTGATTTGGGCAGGAAGGGTGCAGGGGAGGGGGAGGGAGGGGTGAGAAATCCATTCCACCAAAAAATGCTCTCCTCTTGACAATCCGTTGCCTGTTACAGGGAAGAGGGCGGCTCTAGGAGACCCGCCTCTGGAAAGTTGGTGTCCAGCATTTGCGGACACTGCCTTGGGGATTTCTGTAGGTCTCCGTTTAGATTTACAAAACTTTTTAGACACCATTGCGTGAAGGAGAGGACGGAGCCCTGGGACCTTTCAGATGCCTCCCAGACACGGCGAGTTGTCTGCAAACCTGGTTTCTAGCAGAGGAGCCCCAACACCCTCATTTCTTCAGACCTTCCTTTAGAGCTTCCTGCCACATTTGGGAACACCCGGGTCTCTTTAAAGTTGCCTAAAACCCAAACCAAACCCACTGTCATCAAGTTCACTCCAACTAATGGCAGTGCCCATGTATGACAGGGTAGAACATCTCCTCAGGGTTTTCTTGGCTGTAATCTTTTTAGACACTCTGTACAGATTATCTTTATAGATGGCCAGACTTGTCTTCTGCATAGATGCTGGGTGAATCCAAATCAAACCATTGGCATTACCTAGGGACCCTTCAAAAGTTACACCTATCAAAAGTTCCCAGAAAAGATAAACAGCCCACCTTGGCTTCCCAACAATTGGGTGTCCTTTTTCTTGGGTCATTCTCCTTGACCTGGAAGAATGCTCTCTACAGAGCTTCAAATGGTCTCTCTCAAGGGCATGGGCTTTGTCTTATCCTCTCACACCCCAAACAAGCTCACTGCCATCAAATTGATTCTGACTCACACTGACTCGATGGGAAGGGAGAGAACTGGCCTGTGAGTTTCCGAGACTGCAGCTCAGTGTAGGATGACAAAGCCACATATTCCCCCTCCGAGTGACTGGAGGTTTGAGTCGCCAGCCATTATGCCACCAGGGCTTGTCTTCTTCCTCTGTTCTTAACTTCTGGGGGCTCATAGGCCTCTTGGAAAACCTAATGCATTGTCGAATGTCTCTTTAAGACACTCCAGATTTGGTATTTAATTCCTTCCCATTGAACCTAAGAGTTAAATCCCAATACATTCAAAAGGCCCCAATTGGTCGGGTAGGACTATGTTTCCCCCTTGCTCACTAAGCTGTAGCCACAATAGGCACATTGATGACCTTCAAGAGTCTCGTTTCCACTCCAAGACCTCTGCCCTTTGCTCCGTTCTTTATGTGACTGTTGGCATTTCATCTTTCAGGTCTCCCTGCAAACAGCACCTTCCTGTAGATTGACTGTCCAAGGAGATGCAGCCCCCCAGCCAGTCAATGTACCCATTTCCTCTCTGCCAATCCACCTGGGATGTCTCCGCTGTAGCATTTATCACACACTGAAATTGTCTTGTTTGTTCATTGATTTGTTCACCGGTTACTGCGTGTCCACTCTCTCCATCCCCAGGAAATATGCTCTAAGAAATGCAAGACTGTTGCTGTTTTGTGACCAGAACACAGAGTACAGCAAATAGTTGTTAAATGTGCAAACAAATGAATTAATATCTAGTGAGTAAAGTGTGGCTACCCACCTTGGAGGACGCACAGTCCACTGGGGAAAAGGAGTTTCAGTCGGAAAATAATTTCTGCAGAGAAATGGCCAGAACACTGACCTATGGGCTTTTTCTTCTCCCTAAACCCTACCAAGGAAAGCCTGCATGTGATTCAGCTGTGTGAGGGCCAAGGAGCCAGGAGAATTGTTAGTGCAAGATGCTAGCCTGTGAATCTGTTTTCTCTGTCAACTCACAGCTGCCTGGAGCCGAGGGACTTCACCCACAGCTCCTGAGTTGGAGTGACTAGGTTTTTTGCTCTGATTTTCCCTTTGAGATAGTACTGCTGGAGAGCATCTCTGGATCGCACAGGAAGCTGGAAAGGGCTGATGTAGTTTACTTTTTTATTATTTTTTAAATTTATTTATTTTTAATCAATTTATTGGGGCTCATGCAATTC